CAAAATTCTTTCAGACAGATTTGAAGACAAATTTCACTGGTGAATGTTTTAGTACAAAAACTGACCAAAATTCCTTCTGAAAAATTTAAAAGCAATTTCTCCTTTTATCTATGGAACACTTTTATCCTCTTAAAAGTTTCAATTTACAGATATCTATGAATATTAATTGTTCATTAATTTCCAACATCATCACAACTAACAACTACAAAGTAGTGCTAATCAACATTGACTCATTAATTTTGAAATAGTAATGCCCAAGGAGACCATAAATGCAAACCTAACCGACTTTGATGCTCGCCTAAACCATAAGCAATGATGAAGACAAAAAAGCATTTCCTTTGGAGGCAAGAAATGTTGGTGCAAAGATAGAATAAATGATGAAAATAGGGAAATATTCTATTAAAGAGAATGACGACAGAAGAAACAGTATTAAGAGTTACAATGATTGTCACCCTATTTATAGGCTAAAACTAGGGTTACTAGAATAAGATAAAATACTAAAATACCCTCTAACAAACTTAGGGCTTAAGAAAGTAATATAATAAAATATGAATTATTACTAATACCATCCCTTAATTCATATTCCATCAAAACTTGTAACACCAATTCCATCCCTTAATCTGAGAAATTGATCAGTCTTGATAGCTTTCGTCAGAACATCTGCCAACTGCTTCTGAGTGCTGCAGTGTACAACTTCTAACACTCCACTCTGAACTTGATGTCTCAGAAAATGATACTTGGTCTCAATATGCTTGCTTCTCCCATGCAACACTGGGTTTCTGGCAAGATTGATTGCAGACTTGTTGTCAATCATCAACTTCAGAGGTTTGTCTACTTTAATCTTCAGATCCTGCAACAGATTCAGAATCCACACAGCTTGGCATGCAGTAACAGCACCTGCAATGTATTCAGCTTCACAGGTTGACAACGCCACAACAGGTTGCTTCTTGGAACACCAAGAAATGGGACCTCCCAGAAATTTGAACAAGTACCCAGATGTACTTCTTCTGTCAACTCTGTCTCCACACCAATCCGAGTCTGAATAACTCAGAAGTTCTGACTCATTATTTCCTCCAGAGGGAAATAACACTCCATACTTCAGAGTTCCTTTGATATACCTCAGAATCCTGACAGCAGCTTGGTAATGGGACCACTTAGGTTTACTCATGAACCTACTAACCATCCCAACTGAGTAGCAAATATCAGGTATGGTATTGCACAGATACCTCAGAGAACCAACCAACTGTTTGAAGGTTGTAGCATCCACATCCTTTCCTTCAGAGTCTGAATCCAGTTTCTGATTTGTATCAGAAGGTGTGACAGCCATCTTACAATTCTTCAGATCAAATCTCTTCAGAAGTTCTAATTCATACTTGAGCTGATGCAAAATGATACCTTTCTCAGAGTATCTGAACTCCATCCCTAGAAAGTATGTCATTTTGCCTAGATCAGTCATTTCAAATTCATTCATTAGAACCTTCTTGAACTTGGCTATCTCCTGTTCAGAACTTCCAGTCAATAGTATATCATCAACATATAAACATACCAGAGTCATATTGCCTTCAGGAGTATGCTGAACATAGACACCGTACTCCATCTCACATTTCTGAAAGCCTTGCTTCTTGAAAAATGAATCAATCTTCTGATTCCAAGCTCTGGGCGCTTGTTTCAATCCATATAGAGCTTTGTATAATCTGTACACCATCCCTTCCTGATTCTTTTTCACAAATCCAGGAGGTTGTGACACGTAAACTTCTTCTTCTAATGGACCATTCAGAAATGCAGATTTTACATCTAAATGCATCAGAGGCCAATTCCTGTTAGCAGCTATTGTAATCACCATTCTGATTGTTTCATGTCTTGCTATAGGTGCAAACACTTCAGAATAATCCAGCCCAGGTTTCTGTAGAAATCCTCTGGCTACCAACCTTGCTTTATGTTTTCCAATTGAGCCATCTGGCTTTAACTTCTGCTTGAAAACCCATCTGACGCTGATGGCTTTCTTGTCTTTTGGAAGTTCTGTCAGCTTCCAAGTCTTGTTTCTCTCTATAGCATCAAGTTCTTCTTTCATGGCCTTCAGCCAGAGCTTCTGCTTAAGAGCCTCCTCTGTACTTATAGGTTCAGAGTCTACTAACATGGCACACTGAATAACTTCTCCTTCAGAGTCTACTTCAGTGTCTTGCAGCATGTCAAATTCTGCAAATCTTCTGGGAACGCTTCTGATTCTTTGTGGTCTCTGAACTTGTTCAGAGTCTTGAGCTTCAGAGTTTCTAGCTTCAGATGATTGACCTCCAGAGCTTTGACCATCTTCAGAGTCTGGCATATTTCCAGAGTCTGAATTGCCACCAAGATCTGGATTGCCATCAGAGTCTGAATCATCAGAGTCTGGGTCATCTGGGTCACCTTCATCTTCTGAGTCTTCTTCAGAGTTTGAATCAGTATCAGAGTCAGAGTCAATATCAGGGTTTACTTCAACTTCAGAAATTCTTAACTCTGACCTTTCTTTAGAGGTTCTAACATCAGAATCAGATTGAGACTTATCCCAATTCCAAACTTCTGATTCCTTCACAATCACATCTCTGCTGAATTCAATTTTATTGGTTTCTGGACAATAGAGCTTGTATGCACCTGTACTGTGGTACCCTATCAGAATCATCACTTTGCTTCTATCATCCAGCTTCTGTCTTCTGGAACATGTTTATAGCAAACAGAACCAAACACCTTCAGATGACTAACACTTTGCTTGTCTCCAGTCCACTTCTGCATAGGAACTATTTCCTTCAACTTCTTCGTAGGACATCTGTTGAGTACATACGTTGCAGTGGCAACAGCTTCTCCCCAGAGCTTCTGAGGAAGCTTCTTCTCCTTTAGCATGCTTCTCACCATATCAAGCAAAGTACGGTTTCTTCTTTCAGCAAGACCATTGTGTTGAGGGGTATAAGGAGCAGTAACCTCATGCTCAATTCCATTCTCCTCACAGAACTTCTGGAACTCTTTGGAGTTATACTCACCTCCACCATCAGTTCTAAGAATCTTCAACTTCTGACCACTCTGATTCTCAGCCTTCATTCTGAACTTCTTGAATTCATCAAACACCTCATGTTTAAATTTAATAAGGGATACCCACGTCATTCTTGTGAATTCATCAACAAACAACACAAAGTACTTATTCCCTCCAATTGATGCTACTGGAAATGGACCACACACATCAGAGTGTACAACTCCCAAGGCATGTTTTGCTCTTGGAGCAACTTCTGATGCAAATGGCAATCTTGGTTGTTTTCCTTCCATGCAAACTTTGCATGACTTTTCAGGCTTCTTAAATGCAGGAATTCCATGTACCAATTTCTTTGAATTCAGATGTTGTAAGCTTCTGAAATTCAAATGACCAAATCTTCTGTGCCACAGCTCACTCTCCTTCTCAGTACTTGTTGCACTAAGACACTCTGAGTCTGCAGTTCTGACATTCACCTTGAATGTTCTATTCCTTCCCTGTTCTGACTCCATAATCAACTTCTGATTACAGTCATACAGCTTCAGAAGATTGTCCTTCATGGTAACTGAGAAACCTTTCTCAATTAATTGTCCCACACTCATCAGATTGCTTCTGATGCCAGGTACATACCACACATTCTGAATCAATGCTATTTTTCCATTGTTCAGAGTCACTCTGACATTTCCCATACCTTCTGCATTAAGATATTTGTCATCAGCACATCTGATCTTTGTTCTCTTTTCAGAGTCAAAGTCAACCAGCCATTTCTTGTTTCCAGTAAGATGATTTGAACAGCCAGTGTCCATATACCACCAGTCTGTCAAATCATCAGATTCAGAGGCCATCAATAGCACAGATTCGTCATCAGAACTTCTGGCTATATTTGCTTCTTCTGATTTCTTCTCCTTGTTTGACCAACAATCTCTAGCAAAGTGACCAAACTTCTTACAACAGTAACATTGGATCTTCTTCTTGTCATACTTCTCTTTTCCCTTCTGAGCATTCTTTTGTCTATCAGAGGTTGAGGTTTCTGACTTCTGACCACCATCAGATCTTCTCTTCGCTTCTGACTGCTTCTGATACCTCCTATCAGAAATTGCTTTCAGAGCCTGCTGCTCTACTTCCCTTTCAGAAGTTCTCTCAGTCAAACGCAACTCTTGCGCTTCTAAACTGCTCTGCAGCTCTTCAATTCTCATTGTGCTCAGATCTTTGGAATGTTCTATTGCTACCACAATGTAATCAAATTGAGGAGTAAGGGATCTCAATACTTTCTCCATGATTGTTTCTTCAGAAAGAGTTTCTCCACATGCCTTCATCTCATTAGTGATCAGAATCACTCTGGAGATGTATTCAGAAACTTTCTCATTATTCTTCATGTTGAGATTCTCATATTGCTTTCTCAAGGACTGAAGCTTCACCTTCTTCACTGATGCGTCACCACCATAACATCTCACCAGAGTGTCCCATGCAGCCTTTGCTGTTGTAGAGTCTGCAATCTTCTCAAACACGTTTACATCCACACATTGATGAATGAAGAACAATGCTTTCTGATCCTTCTTCCTTACTTCCTTCTGCGCGTTTTTCTGTTCATCGGTTGCATCTGCTGCTACTGGAACATAACCATCAGTGACAAGATCTAGAACATCTTGAGCACCAAATAGTACACGCATTTGGATCATCCAACGATTCCAGTTTTTACCATCAAATATTGGAAGTTTGGTGTTCATGTTTAAGAAAGTAATATAATAAAATATGAATTATTACTAATAAGAAATAGGGTCAAATGGCAAGAATTAAACATAAATTTTGCATAAGTTCATATTAGGGATGATGCATATATATAAGATTGTCAAGATCAAGATTAAAGATTCAGAAAGAAAATTTGCTCTAAGGTATTGTCAAAAGCCTGTACTCATGCTAATTCTACTCATGGTAATTCTAAATCATACACAGGCTACGCACACTTTATTCTACATTTTACAAACAAAAGTAAATGCACTGTCTTTCACTCAATATTGATTCTAACGATTTTCTTCGCTCTTCCCTCAGAACTGTTTCCCGTTTCAAAATTTGATGCAACTCCTCTTGCTCTACTATCCTGCTCCGAAAATGGAAGTGACCACACCTTGTTTTTCTTTATCTCACCAACTCTAGAATCTACAGTGTTTAATTAAATTAAATGTGAAAATTCAGTTTTCAAAACAATGATTATTCACATGCTAGCAAACCAGCAATGTCTTTGAAACTTCCCAACAACGCCAACGCATTCAATCAACTTACCTTTCTTCCTATGCACATCATAATCGGGTAACCGTGCTCGATTATTTTCTTTCCATGTTTCCTCAAAGCGTGAAAGCTCATCTAATGAATAAATTCGTCCGTCATCACTATACAATAGAATTTGTTTTTACTACTTGAAATGTTTTTAATAAAGACGGTATCAGTATCAACAAACCTTCGTTAAGATTGTGCAACATCTGTGTCGTATCAACCTTCCCGTCTGAATCAAACTTTCTCAAAACTGAATGGCCCTACATACATATTACAAGATATTATGAAAAATCTACTGATAACAATGTTGCAATGCTAAATAGCTTCGCGTTCGATCCCTGCTACTAATAAAGAGACAAATCTCACTGTCTACTAGTAGGGTTCCATGTAAAGAGTTTACATAGCAAAGTTCTGTATGGATTAGCCCAACACATAGATTGTTACCTACGGAATATGAACATAAAACCCTGAGAGGAGCACACTCTCAGGTCACAAACCTTCAACAACATACCAATCCCCGAAGTTCCCTCTTCCTTACAAGTCAACTACTAACACTAACATTTGCTTTTAACTACCACAGGAATGCATTCTTAGACATATTATATATATATAGTTACATTACATACCTTATCATGGACTCCTCTTGTGATTCTATGTGTTGCTTCACCACTCGAGGTGTCAGCTTCTTTGCATTCCTCTATCACCATCTGATTCAATCATATCATACAAACTATATTAGCGTAAATAAGTATCCTTCAAAACATTTAACAATAAGTGAAAGTGAAAGTGAAAAGTCACCACACATACCCCATCAGACCCCGTCTTTCTGGTTCGGGTAGAAGTATAATAAGCACCATCTATACCACCATATGTTATTCTACTGGTCTTAAAAGACATATTGCAAGTGTGAGCCTTAAAGGGTTCTTCTGAATCGCGATGATCATTCTCGTATATAACACCATTGGTTTGCTTCTCTGCTAGTATTCGCACGAATAAGAACATAATTTAACAAATCAAGTATGAAAAACGAGTTTAAAAATAATATGTTAGTACCACTACCATCAACATCATCATCAGGATGCTCAACAAACGGCTCCATTGGTGACCGATAAATTTTCTCATTAAAACTATCAACACCGTCATCATCAGGGTCTAATTCTTTTATAACAACTCCTTTATCTCCGTTTGTCTTCTGCATTGATCTCGACGAAGCAGAACTTGGACTCCACATATTATCAAATGGATCAGTGAAAAAAGGATTATCAAATGGATCAGTGAAAAAAGGATCATCAAATGGATCCCTTCCTCCAAAAAGACTAGGCATCGTCATAATTCTGTGGAAACCAGAACCACCAAAGTTTGTAAACCCTCTTGGGTTAAAAACATTATCTTGAACTTCTCTACCCTTCTGCATATCCTTTATCTAATCCTCACAAAACAAAACCAAACAAAGCTTCAAATAAAAACATGATACCTTAGTCATTCAACAACCAATTAGGGTTGATTATGAAGGTGGTGGTGAATTGGAGGAAACAATTACCTGAGATGAAAATCCAAATGAGAGAGAAGAAGGTTGAAGAAGAACACAACGGAACCTAAAGAAATGGGATTAGTTTGGTTTAGAAATAGAAGAGGAAGCTATTTATGTGGTTGAAACGGTTATCAGAGAGAACGACACGTGGATTTTATTTTTCTGTTTTATGGATGCGACTAGAACCTTCAGGCTCTCGCGCGGAAATTGATTACGTGGCATATAGTAACTGGGCACGTATATCCTACTATTAAATATGTTGGTAATCTCGGTAAATATTAACAACCGTTTCATTTTAGGCATGCTTCAATAATTTGAAACATGTTATGATATTACAAAACAGATATAACACTCCATAGTGGAATTTATTTATTTTTTAAGAACTGAATATAACATTTATGGTTTAATTTCATGCTAGAATTCTTAGAGAACTAATAAAGATACAAAATACTTAGAGTAGTAGAATTTATCACAGGCTAGTCTCAAACTAAAACAAGGTTTTATTGTGGGTCAGGCGTTAACTGAAATTTGGTTTATCGCGGACTAACTAAGAATTTATGAGATTTTATCACGGACTGATCTCGAATCTTGAAGATTTTTGAATATATTAAACTTTTGGACCTAAACAGAGGTTTAATTACACAATCTCCGAACCAAAGCTTTTTGCGGGTTTAGTTTCAAACCCAAACAAACAATTCTTAAATGGACATAATGTTTAACCAAAGTATAAAAAAACTTCCTTGGTGAATTTATAAAACTACTCTTCCAGAATTACAGCTTTCTCACTCGCAAAATGACTTTCTCGAAAAACACTTCAGTTAAATTCTTAGTGAGAGAATATAAACAAAAAGCGGTTTTTTAGAGAGAGAAAGTGATAAGAGTGAAATGAAATTAAGTTTCTGGACAATTTTGAAAGTGAGAAAGGCCTCTATTTATAGGCTTGAGGTTGACACAAAAAAGAAAAAGTGCTAAGGCTAATTTATGATGTGTCAATCAAGTGGCAACATACATTAATTGATTGGTTGCCTTCAAATTAATCGATTAGTTGGCTAAAAAAGAAAAGGAAAGATATTTAGCTATTACCAAACATTAAGGCATTGTACTAATCGATTAAGGCGTATTTTTGAAATTCTCCAATTGATTTCCATAAAGTGTCAAGCGATTGGTAAGAGAAAAAACTTGTCCATATCTTTTTTGTCACTTCCTAACTTGTTTGGCACGACTTCAAGGCATTTTTCAAAATATTTTCTTGATAAAATAAGTTTTTAAAATAAGTTTATGTGTGTATTGACTGACTTAGCATGTACTTTTACGAGAAAACTTTTATGTTTTACAATGTATTGAGTCAGACATTCTGAGGCAAGCTTTCATATAAGTCTTGTCAAATGCTTTATCCTTAAGGAACTTGCTTGATTTTACTTTGAGATGAGACTTGAGTCATAATCTATTTGGTTGCCATCATATGTAGAGTCAAGCCCATTAGTCCTAATATGTTGACTTGCACTTTTAATCGCTATTACCACTTTATGCTTGACTTTAGTTATTGTCATCAATCATATGTTTATCTTTAATAGTTGCCATCATCAAAAGCATGTTCTATGAACTGCAAAACAAGATGCCACATTCTCCCCATTTTTTTATGATGACAATGCATCTCTCAAAGATGTGGTAGAGAAACAAAGCAAAAGTCTTTGGAGTAATTAAACTCCCCCAGAGTTAAGTAGAGAGTATACTCTACTCCCCTTGAGAGTATACTTTTACCCCTTTATCGAAATAAAAAAGACGGATAAATATGCATTGTGATAAATTTAAATATGCAAACACAGGCCATTAAGAATTTAGAAACGAAAAAGAACATTACTTTATTCATTAGAAAACTTGGAATTCAACGTAGAAACTAGAAACTTACTGACTTGAAATAGTGTGAAAAACAGAATGATAAACGAAACATTTTTAAAATAAAAACATGTGTAAAATTATTCAATGCCCTAAGCATCCACATTCATTTCCATTATTTTCTTTATATCCTCTATTAGACTTTGAAAAATATTCAACACCTCGTCTATCTTGGTGTCTTCTTTTTTTTTATGCATCTTCTTCTTATTCCTTGAATGAAGAGTCTTCCTATATTTCTTCATGCTTTATAAGGATTTTAATCTCCCTAAGAGCAATATATATAATCCTATGGTTGGTCAACTCTTTCGTTTCCTACAGGGTTTCAATGTTGAATGAAGCTATGAGCCACTAAGGGCCCCGATAAAACTAACATGTGTCACACTCCAACTCCATCCATCTTCCCTCCTAAGATGGATGACAAAACAACAACCTGCAATAGAAACACCATAGCAGGAGGTTTTTTTGGTGGAGGTAACTCTGGATCTTCCCGAAGGAAATACAAAAGGCGAGTGTTTGTAGGAAATGTAATATCTCTTGACTTCTCTAGAAGCTCTCAAGTGAAAACACAGGTTAATATCATCTTTTACGAGGAGTACGCCCTCGACCTTAACCCTTACGATGATAATACTCTGGTCAACATTGAGCAACATGGTAACTGGGACATCAGAGGCATTCTAATAGACCCTATAAACTCTATTGAAGTCTTGTTTTGGGACGCCTTCCAGAAACTAAAACCTAAGCCAAACGACATAAAAATGTTCAGTGGTTCTTATACGGGGTGACTAGAAAAACAGGTACAAATAATGGGCCACATAACCCTGGAAACCACATGTGGCGAGGGAGAGAATGCCAAGGTGATTGACGTCAAATACTTCATTATAGACGCCTTACTGTAGCGGGAAAATTTGTGAGTATAAGCTATTGATTAACTTGACTCAAAATGCAAGAATCGCCACCTCACTTTTATTTTATCCAAAAAGGAAAGGAAAAAGAGCGAACAAAACCTAAGAGTTCTAAAACAAGAACAAATAAACAGAGAATGGGTAAGGAGGTTGGTTACGCGATGGGAAGGTGTTAGCATCCAAAACGTCTATAGTACTCTATAGGAGCCCTTTCAAATATCTACGCTTTTTAGTTTGAAAAAAAAGGTTTGCTTGAAATGAGATTGAGGAGGTGAGAAGAGAAATATTTTTAATATTTTTGTGTTTGGAGAGACTTATCGCCTCATGTCTACGTACCCACAAAGTGCAATATAGGATCAAAACCCCGTAGTTCGTGGTACAAATAGCAAAAATTTGTTGGTTATGATTTATTTTTAAAATGTAAAGACAAGTCGTCATTTTAAGGAGAAAACTACAACTAGTCGCCCACAAGTATAAGACAACATTCGCATCACCTAAAGATGGAGGGTTTTGCTTGGATTAAAATCAATCAAGTCTATCGCTCAACATCTAAGTGGAAAATGTCAACATCTTAAATACTATGGGGAATAGGAGAATTATATCTCAACTATGGAAATTACTCATGTCTAAACTTTATGAGAAAAAAATTAAATGAAAAAGTGCACAAAGGAACAAAAAGGTTTGAATGAGTTTTTTGTATTTTTTAAGTCTTTTTGAAATTGGTCAAAATATGATTAACATTGATTGACATTTATTAAATAAAACAAATTTTGAAAATCACTTGACAAAAGTCAAGGTTTTTATTGTGAAAGCGATTTTAAGTTTGAAAACAAGAAAGTTTTTGAAAAAGGGAGAAGACTTTAAAATTTTAAGAAGGGGAGGAGATGAAGTGACTACCCTAGAAAGAAAAATAAAAGTTAGAGACAAGAAGGATCTAACCAAAATGTAGCACACTTCATAGCTAGCGAAATAAGAATTTCATACATCTTGAAGCATAAGCAAATAAGCTAGTCAAATAAAGGCAAAGATCCATAATACTCCAAGCATAGAAAGAGATTCCTAATTCTAAGTCCAAGGGTCTAAGAATGATTCAAGAGGTCCAAGGTCTAAGAATAGTCCAAGAGGATAACTACAAAGTTAAGAGCACCAAGTTTTTTAGAGGTTTAATCATTTATTAGTGTTTTGAACAAGATATGGTCCATATGGACAAAAGAAAAAGAGAAGCGAAAGCATAAACAATAATATGAGATGAGATGATAATAATGGAGCATAAAAATAAAAGAGAGATATGGAGCAAGAAGGAAACATAAACAAAATTAGTACAATGATATTGTTAGTTAGTTAATGATTAGTTGTTAGAACAAATTATCAATAATGGTTAACTAATGCACTTAGGCCAAAGTTAATGAAGCCTCATTAGAGGATTTATAAAATCAAAGTCTCCTAACAATAAGTTTCATAGGTAATGGATCTAAGATAAATAATCAACCATACTTGGACTTTCAAACATAAGTTTGAGCCACAAATGATCATTTTCCAATTACGGGATAATTCAGCGCTATGTTAAGCAATCGTAATCGGGTTTAAGTAGAAACCACGACTATCTCAGACCGGTCAATAACAATGTTAGTGCTAATGCATGCTAGAGAAGTGATATTTAGATCACTCTCCGAAAGCAATACCGCACGAAAAGAAAATAGGTAACGATCTCATCTTCATCAAGAACTTGAAATAAGTTCAAACGATATCGAATATTTTCATCGATCAAAAGAAAAAAGAGAAGAGGAGAGGGATGCCAAATTGAACTATAATTTCAAAATCATCCCATCTTTAAGTTCATCCACTCATCTTGGTGGATTAAAGCACTAAACATATCATTAACTCAAAGCACCTAAAATGAACTGAACAATTCACTTTAAAGATAAATTTGAATTAATGAATATTTATCCAAATTCATCTACATCCTAAGTCCAATGAATTTAAAGATGAAAAGAACCTTTAAAAGTGTATTCCAAGAAAAAAATAAAAAGAGAGTGGAAGAAGAAGAGGAAAGAACCAAAACAGTTCCAAAAACAAGCAAAATCA